AGTGATGAGAACTTGGAGGCTCTGCCCTTCAAGACTTCCTGGATCTTCTCTTGATCTCAAATTTGTCTTTTAAAAGTTAAAAAAAATGATGCCATTAGCAAAGCCAAGAAAATAACAAGGGTATAAAGTGCTTGCTTTGCAAGCATGGGGACGTGAGTTCAAGCCCCAGAACTCACATTAGAAAGTCAAGGATGGTGACCTGTGCTTGTCTTCTAATCCCAGATCTGGGAAGGCAGAGACAGACAATCCCTGGGGCTTTCTGATCAGCCAGCCTTGCTTACTGACTAGCCCTGGATCCTCAAATAGCCCAATGGGTAAAGATGCTTGCCACTCAGGCTAGTGGCCTGAGTTCAGTTCCTGGATTCACATGGTAAAAGGAGAAAACTAGCCTCTTCAAGTGTCCTCTGTATGTGTACACACATACACGCACACACACACACTCACACAATGCACACACACACACACAAGAAAGGAAGGAAGGAAGGAATCAAAGAAGGAAGGAAATAAGGAGAGAAAAAGAAATTCCATATCCCCTGGCTTCTCTCAACCCCTAGGAAGAGTGAGGCCCAGCCAAGCCAAGGACAAGGCATGGCCTCTGGCAGGGTCATGGTGACTTTCTTGGCAGCTTCTGGAGGGACGAACAGGCTGACCTCCCCCAAGGACTCCCTGACAGTATCATCTTCCCATCTCTGCAATCCCAGGCTGCAGGGGACCAGACCCTTTCCACCTGACCCCACACCTTCCTCCCCCTGTTCTGATCCACTCAGTCTATGGGAGGGTCTTAGAGGCCAATCCCTTTGTAGGCCAGCCCAACAAAGATTCTGATCATCCCCATTTTATCAGTGGGGAAGCATGGGCCTGCCTAGTATGAGACTTAGCATAAACTCTCATAACCAACTTGAATCCCCTCAAAGGGGTTCCTCTTGGGCTAGGATGAGGTCAGTAGGCTCTAAAGGAATCGGAGGACAGTGATGGGAAACTAAGACATGACCCTGGCTTGGACTTCAATGGCCGGGACAGAAACATACTGGGAGTATTCAGCTATCCAGTCCAGACCCTTTATATCCTAATACCCTACCCCACTTCCAGTGTGAGACAGCGGGGAGTCAGGGCGGTTCTGCATGGGACTGAGGGTGTAATTCAGTTGCCACTGTTGACCTAGCACGCATGGAACATTGGGCTATAAGCCAAACAACTCATAAACCAGGCACGATGGTTCATGTCTGTAACCCTGGCACTCATGGAGGTGGAGACAGGAAGAACACAAGTTCAGTGTCAGGCAACCTGCGTCCACCGATGCAATAGTGACATGACTGGGGGTGGGGATTGAGCCCATCCGCACAAAAGATTAAGAAGTTCAAGGCCAACTTTGACTATGTATTGAATCCCAGCTGAGCTATGTGGAATCCTGTTAAAAGAAAAGCAACTAATAGGGAGCTGGGACGGTATCTTAGTGATAGAGCAGCTTGCCTGGCATGCATGAGGTCCTAGGTTCAATCCCCAGTACTGACAGGGGGAAAAAAGGTGGGAGAGGGGTCCTGCATGTCTATGGAAAGGAATATTATGGGCCCGATCTTCCTCCTTGACACCGTTCCTTGCCTTGAGTCAGGCCTCTAGCTCAGATACGGAGCGTGGTCCCGATTCCAATATGCAGCCCTTAACTACCGGCCCTGCTGCCTCCCCTGACGAGAGCAGCCTTAGAGGAGGCGGTCTGTGGTGGCCCTGAGCTGTGAGTTGCTAAGCGTTTGTTCCTAAGGCTCCCTTACCTGATATCTCTGTTTGCTTTAACAAGCTGACCACCCTAGGCATAGGAAGCATTCAAAGATCCTAGAGATGCCTTTCTCATTTGCCTCCTACACGGAAATCCCATGAGAGAACCCTGGTACACACTGCGGGCTGTGAAAGGTTGTCTTCTCGGGGGTGGGGAGGAGAGCTGAGGGTTCTCCTTGGGGTGTTTGTTGACAATGAAACCATCTTTACAACAACCAGCCTCAAACTGGGCATGGTATAAGCTGGGATTTTCAGGTGTTCAAGGTTATCTTTGGTTACATAGAGAATTTAAGGCCAGTCTGGGCTACGTGAGACCTGTCTGATTTTTTTTTAAAAGAGAAATGGAACTGGGAATGTAGCTCTGTCAGTAGAGTGCTTGCTTAGCATGCATGCATGAAGCCCTGGATTCCATCACCATAAGAACATCTGCATAAGATCACCTGGAACCCCAGCACTCAGGTAGTCAAGGCAGGAGAATCAGAAGTTCAGCTATAGCAAGAGTTCAGAGTTCCAGGCCAGCTTTAGCTACATGAGACCTTGTCTACAATAAAAATAATAAGCCTCCAGTTCTTCTAGCTTAAGCTGCTCAGAAAGTGAAGACAGCTCTGTGCGGCAAGCAACTACCAGATCATACCAACTCTGGGCACCTCTGCCTGCCTCTGCTTCTGGAGAAAGACCCGTTCTCCCATGGGAAGTCTTCATGGCCGCACTGACTCCCACAGAGCGCTCACCAGCCATGGCTAGTACTCACAGGCTGCTTCAGCCACCAGTCACAAGCTGCTCTTTTCCAGCAATGAGACCACTTCCTGGTTCTGGAGCTTTGTCGGACTCTACGGAGCCCTTCAGAGAGAGGTCTGGGCCCCTGGCCCCCTGCCAGAAACATCCAGATCCAGGCAAAGGTGATCACGTTTTGTTTTCTGTGACAGTAAGATATCCTGAAGGAGGGGCTGGAGAGATGGCTCAGAGGTTAAGACCACTGACTGCTCTTCCAGGGGTCCTGAGTTCAATTCCCAGCAACCACATGGTGGCTGACAACCATCTACAATTCAATCTGGTGCCCTCTTGTGGCATGTAGGTAGAACACTGCATATGTAATAAATAAAAACAAATCTTTAAAAAAAAAAGATATCCTGAATGAGCTCAGTTCAGAGGCCTCCTGGCACCTGGAACTCCCTGATTGACCCTGGCCCTTACTGGGGCCAGTTCCTCCTTCCTCAGTCAGCAGTATTAAGGACTTAGTGTCATGTTTTCTGCTAAAAATTGAGATTATACCCAATGTGGTACATGCCTGTGATCCCAGCATTCGGGAGACTGAGGCAAGAGGATCTCAAGCCCAAGGCTATCATGTAAAACTCTGTCTAAAAATAAAACAGCTGGGCATGGTGGTGCACGTCAGTAACCCCAGCACCTAAGAAGCGGCAGCTGTAGGATCTTGAGTCTGAGGTCATCTGGCGCTGCATATTGCATTATAGATTCCAAGCCAGCCTGTGCTACATGAGATCCTGTCAAGAAAGAGGAAAGAGAATAAAAAGATATATATGGTTGTGCATGGCTGGCATGGTTGTGAATGCCTTTAATCCCAGCACTGAGAGGCAAAAACCAGTGTTTCTCAAGGCTAGCCAAGGCTACATAGTGAGACTCTGGCTCAAACAAGCTAACCTAAGGTTAACAGGCAGCAGATGTGGCTTGGTAAAGATTGTGGAAGTATCAGGGACAGATCTGCAAAGAGAACAGTACCATCTGCCCTTGCAAGGATGGGGCCCAAGGTCAGGAGGGGCCTTCTGTGCAGGGGTGGGTGGTGAGGCTGGGGAGGGCACAGAGAATCCTGGACTATTTACCCTGAAAGAGACATTGGGAAGCAAAAGGCGAAACCCTATTGTGCAGATGGGGAAACTGAGGCCTAGACTGGGGGAATTAATTTGTCCAGGGGCCCCATGGTGCTGAGGTAGCTGCAGGCTCCTAGTTTCTCAGAGACCTTTGGATGGCATCAGGTTACCTTTCTGGTCCTAACTCCACTCTTGGAAGAAAAAAAAAGTTGCTAGCTCGTCCAGACGGCAGCCAAGGGCACTGGCTGAGGTCCAAGGAGCTGGACACCCTGGTCCTCTAGAGGTGAATCGGCCTCCTCTTGGGCCCAGAGTTGGGGTGGTTGCGTTTCTCTCTCTCTCTCTGTCTCTCTTGCATTTTTGTGACTCTAATGATGAACTTATGCTACCACACTTTTCCCTTCTCTTACACAACTCACCTACTAAAGGAGGAAGTGCCACTTTATTGGTAAGTGGACGTTAACCAAGAGGGACTTAAAAAATCAGAACGTTAAAAAAAAAAGAAATGAAATGAAAAAAAAGAAGAGAGAAACAGAAAGACAGTTGGTCAGCTACTGAACACCCCTGAGCTCTTGGCAGGGTCGCAAAACAGAGCCAAATATTAACAGAAAGAAAAAAAAATGTCAGGTTCCCCAGCAGATCATTTTGGTTTGGGTATATAATGACATTTGTGGTTTTTTGTTTCCGTTATTATTATTATTATGATTTTCTTTTTTTATTTCTGTTTTGACTCCTTTTCTTCGGTTAAATTTTGAGTTCAGTTATCTTGCCCCCTCCCCAATCTGTGTGCCGTGTGACACCCGCCCCTCTATGCCTTTTACCCTGGTGGGGGGAGCCTGGCCCTGGTGGGCTGGCCCTGGCTTGATCTACCAGTGTCGTCCCTCTCTTCTCTCTACTGGGGGGGAATCGTCTGTCCCCTATGAGGGGACAATGCCAGCCCCTCTGGTGTCCCATCCTGGAGCTCCCCCCCGCAGCCCCCACCCCCACCGCTCCGTCCCTCTTGTGTTATGCATGCCGAGAACCTTGCATGGTCTGCTATGTTGAGGCCAGAAGGTGAACACTCAGGAGAGGTAGAGGCAGGGCAGGCGCGGGAACCGTGTGTGCGATGCTCCGGGGCTGCAGCCCGCGGCCTAGGCCCGGTGAAAGCCCTCTCTCCTTTTCTCCCCCCACCCCGCTGCCCTCTCACGTCCCCCCTCGATCCCTCCTCTTTTTCTGCCCCCCTCCCCGTCTGGCTTGCACCCCTCCCCTTCTGCTTCCTCACTTCCCCACCCCACCCCATCCCCCGCGTCCGTCCGTCCGTCCTCTGCATCCACAACCCTCTCTGCTCCTGTCCCCTCTGCGTCCCTCCCTGCCCCTCTCGCCCCCCTCTCCGCCCCTCGTGCCCTTCTCTGCCTCTCTCCCCGTCAGAAGCCTAGCTCGCCCCGGGCCTGCGACAAGGTGGCCGCCGCGCCCACGCCGCCCGCTCGTGGGAAGGACAGTCAGAGCCCGCGCTCCGCGCCGTCGTCGCAGGGCCGCGGGGGCCGCGCGGCGGGAGGGGCGGCCAGGCGCCGGCGCCGGCGGAGGAGGAGGCGGCGATCGCGATCCTCGGCCAACGCGCCCCGCCGCAGGGGGCGCCGGCGAGCAAAACCCGCGCCGGCCCGGGGCTCGTCCCGCTCGCCCAGCGGGGCTCACTCCAGCAGCGAGTCGGGCGGCGGCGGAGCCCCGGGTCCAGGGCCGGAGCCGGGCTCCGAGCGAGGTCACAGCGGACACGGGAAACGGTGAGCCCGCCTCCTGCCTGCATCCCACGGCTGCACCCTCTCTCCGGTCACCCCGTGTGCAGCCCTCGTGGTCACCCCACCCCTCACTGGTCACTCCACGCGGGATGCCCCTCTCAGCATCCCACCTGCAGCCCCCTAACCCATCACCTCAATGGGGCCCCCTTGTTAGTCACCCCACATGGGATTCCTCATTCGTCCTCCGATGCATCTCCTCCGTGCGGATCCCTGCTGCCACCCACGCACAACCCTCGTCTCTCCTGCCCCGCAGCCAGTCACTTGAGCCCCGCCCCGTGCTCCCTCCTCTAGGGCAAAGGAGCGACCCCCGCGCGCGCGACCCGCAAGCGCCTCGCCATCCCCAGGCGCGCACGGCCGGCGCGGTGGCCCCGAGGGGAACAGCTCATCGCGCAGCCCTGGGCCCCACCCGGGGTCCTGGAGCTCCAGCCGCTCGCCGTCCAAATCCCGCTCACGCTCCCCAGACAAAAGGACCCGAAGTCCCAGCCTCTCCCCGTCGCCCAAGAAACCTCTAGGCCGGTAAGCGTCCCGAAGGGATTGGGGCGGGTGACCGAGCACCCGGGCTTGGGGCCCAGAGGGCGGGGATCCCTCACCACGAGCGGGTCCCACAGGGACAAAGACAGCGAAGGCCGTGTGAGGCATGCGGAGGCTGAGGCCGCCCGCACCCGACGTCGCTCCCGCAGCTACTCGCCCATCCGAAAGCGGCGCCGCGACTCGCCCAGTTTCATGGAGCCAAGGCGCATCACCAGGTACAAGGGGGCCTGGGGGGTGAGGCGGGAATAGGACTGCTGACTCTAGTTGGTGGCCAGGGAGTCAAGATTCTCGGGTCTGGGGGCCTTCTAGAATGGACCGAATCTCACCCAAAGGAGAAAGGAGGGTTTGCCAAGAGGAGAGAAACTGGAAGAGAGATGGGTTGGGGGAAGAGAAACTAATGGATTCAGGGGTCATCGAAGAGCTGGGGAGGAACGAGGGTGCCAAGGCATCCAGACACCTTGGGAAGGAAAGGTGCCATGGATCCGAGCTGGTCAGTATCTGGGTCGGGGTGGCCCCCCACGGGCATGGAGCTCAGCTCTGGGAGATTCCACTCGTCATCTGGAGCCCCTCCTTCCCCCGCCCCCTCCCCGTATCTACCACATCTTCAGTGATACGTGCTTTCTCCTTCATCTCAAGGAACCTCCTGCTGCGTGGCCTGTGGCCAGCCTGGGGGCCGCGTGGACCCGGCTCCACGGGCTGCCCAAGAGATGCCCATGTGAGCTAGTCTGGTAGTGGTCAGCTGTCTACGTCTCCGTTTCTCACTAACCTCCCAGCACCCTGGGGAACTGGTGGAGGGGGCAGAGCATCCTAGTATCTGGGGCAGCTGTCTGAGGAGCCCCATGCAGAGTGAGGAGTGTGGCTGATTTGATGGAAGACTAGAGGGGTCTGAGTCTGCAGATGAAATCACCCTAAAGCTGGGACTGGTGGCTCAGGTCTCTCATCTCAGCTACTAGGTACGCTGAGGCAGAAGGGATGGAAAAATCCAAGGTCAGCCTGAGGAACCTAGCAAGACCTTGCCTCAACACAAAATCATCAATAGACTTTACCTAGAATCCCCCATTGGACGAATGGGGTCATGGCTCTGTAATAGAGCACCTGCCTAGAATCCCCCAGTGAGGGGCTGGGGTGTGGCTCAGTGGCAGAGCACCTGCCTAGAATCCCCCAGTGAGGGGCTGGGGGTGTGGCTCAGTGGTAGAGCACCTGCCTAGAATCCCCCAGTGAGGGGCTGGGGTGTGGTTCAATGGTCGAGCACCTGACTAGGATGTGTGAGGCCCTAGATTTGATCCCTAGTACTACTAGCAAATTAAAATCACCCTGCAGCCCAGGATTACCCCAGTCTGAATAGATTACCATAGCAGACCCCAGAGTCCAGCATTACCCTGCCTTCCTGAGGCACCCAGGGGAGACTGACACACCTCCATGGCCAGATGTCTATAATTAGCTGAAATCTGTAAGAATCTTTTTAAATCCAACTCTTGATTCTCAAATTAGTTCTCCTTAGTCCTTGATAACCTGGATCTCCAAGAAGGCAGTATGGGCTCCCCCTTTACTCGCTGCTAAAGGCCAGACCACCACAATAACAATAGCAGCAGCCCCAAGACAGGTTACACACTCCAGCTGTCCACTGAGGGTCCTAAAACAGCCAGAATCTCACACCTTCCATCTGGCACCCACCTCAGGCCCTCTGCCCCAGGCTCCGCCTCCTCCCACTAACGCACACCTATTGTTCTTCCTCAGAATTAACCTTTGTGATGGGCATTATAAACCCTTAACCACTTTCTTTTCTCTGGGTCTTAGCTTTCTGCCTTCAAACTAACTCTGGGGCCAGCAGAGGGTGGGGGGGGGTAGCTGAGCAAAGGGTTGGGGTGGAGGGGGCGGAGGGGGATAGGCTGAACCAGAGACAGCAGTGGCCAGGGGTCTCCTCCTTGTTCTCTTTGAGTGACCTTAAAAATCTGAGTCTTCGGCCGGGCGTTGGTGGCGCACGCCTTTAATCCCAGCACTCGGGAGGCAGAGGCAGGTGGATCTCTGTGAGTTCGAGGCCAGCCTGGTCTACAGAGTGAGTTCCAGGACAGCCTCCAAAACAATACAGAGAAACCCTGTCTCAAAAAAAAAATCTGAATCTTCAGCCAGGTGGTGGTGGTAGCTCACACCTTTAATCCCAGAGCTTGGGAGGCAAAGACAGACGGATCTCTGTGAGTTCAAGGCCAGCCTGGTCTACAGAGTGATTACAGGACAGCCAGGGCTACACAGAGAAACCCTGTCTTGGAGAAGAAAACAACAACAAAAAACTTAAATCTTTTTGGAGCAGGGATGAGAGGGACAGAGGAACAGGGCTTAGCCATAATACTTGCAAGCAAAGAAGACATCGCTGCACATTCAGTTAAAGGAGCGTGTGTGTGGTGTGCGTGGACTGCAGTGTTCAGTCCCCACCATGCATGAATGGCGAGATAAACCTGCAGCCCCAACACTTCAGAGGCTAAAGACAGAAAGAATAGCAGGTGTGAGCTTTGATACATGAAACTCTGTCTCAAAAATCAAAGTTTGATTCCTGATGAACCTGTGATCCCAGAACTGAGAAGTTGAGGAAGATTGAAGATTACAGGCTAGCCTGGGCTTCATAGTAACTCTGTCTAAAATAGAGCTAGGAAAGAAAGAATGAAGAGAAGGAGGAAGAGAGAGAAAGTCAGTTGTGGTGGTACATGTCTGTGAATATAGCACTCAGGAAGTAGAGACAGGAGAGTCAGGAGTTCAAGGCCAGCCTTGGATACCCAGTGAGGTCAGCCTGAGCTATATAAAATCCTTCCTTGGAGAATAAAAACTAAATGAGGTTTTTGGTTAGAGAGATGGCTCAGTGGTTAAGAGCATTTACTGCCCTTTCAGAGGACCTGAGTTTGAATCCCAGCATGCACATGGGAAGCTCCGTGTGGTTCAGCTGCGAGGGGTTTCAGCAATCTCTGCTCTCCACGGCCCTGCGCATGAGTACATAAGCTCACATGCAGACGCATAATTAAAAATAATGTGTAAAGAAAAAGTTTGGCCAGGTGGTGGCGCACGCCTTTAATCCCAGCACTCAGGAGGCAGAGGCAGGCGGATCTCTGTGAGTTCGAGGCCAACGTGGTCCACAAAGCTACACAGAGAAACCCTGCCTCAAAAAGAAAGAAAGAAAACGTTTCACTCATAAAGTTCAGGGTATACCTCATGGTATGAGTATTTGTAAGGTCCTGGTTTCTTTCTACCTCAGCATTGACAAACAGGAGAAAAGGGAACACACACACACACACACACAAAACCAATAAGCTTTCATTTATTCAGAAAAATATTTCTTAGCACATACTCAGGTCAATAAAGAACTTAGCAAATCAATATGAATAAGGACACAGAAGTTTGGAACTGGAGTTGTCTCTGAGGCCAAGTCTCGGGGGGAACTTAGGCAGGAAACCCTTGCCACTGCTGTGATGGGAACTGGGGTCGAGTGAGGACCATGGGTGAGCAGAGCTTGGTGCCCTGGGTGGGCTAGGATCTACTTTTTCTCTCTTACAGTGCCCGAAAGCGTCCCATCCCCTACTACCGACCCAGCCCCTCCTCTTCCTCCAGCTGCTTGAGCAGCGACTACTCAAGCCGGAGCCACAGCAGGAGCCCAAGCCCGGGCCACAGCCACGGAAGCTACAGCAGCCACAGTCACGGGACTCGCAGCCGCTCGTGCAGCGCCTCCAGAAGCCGCAGTCCCAGCTACCACAGCAGGAGCAGCTCTGAGAGTGGGGGCTTCTGAGTTCAGACGGACACTTCCGGGGCTAGAGGGCCCTGGCGCAAGGAGAGGCTGGGGCTCTGGGACCTGAGAAGAGGGGTCTGTACCCCCCGTACTACTACAGAGGTCCCGGGTGGGGGGCAGCACGTGGGCAGGTGGACTAGGGAGGAGCTTCTTCCACAGCGATCAGCGATCCACCCACAAGGAGGAATCAAGTTGTTTAGTCCCTAAAGTGTGCCCATCCCCACGGCCCGCCCACCCACCGCGTCCAGGGAACAAAGAGCCTTTTCGAACACAAGGATTAGATCACCACGCCCCTCTCCTGCTTGAGGCCAGCTTACCAACCTGGGGCCCATTGCCTGGGCATGGCACAAGAGTCCTCTGCTGGCTGTCACCTCATCTCAGCCCAGTGGACCCCTGCACAGCTTGGAAGGTACCAAGTCCGGGACCTTCCCCCTCCTCTTTGTCTCCCACAGAGTGGATCTGCAGACAGCGGCTGTGCCAGATCTAGGAGGGGAGGGAGACCACCTAACTCCTGGTGTGTTGGCAGGCAGGATGAGGCGTTCACACCTGGCCCGTCTCTCTCTCTCTCTCTCCCTTGCCCTCATATCACGTGGTAGGCCCAGGCCACACCGTCCAGACCCTCATCAGCACAAGAGGTGGTAAATACAGCATCTGTATCTACCCTGATGTCAAAGATGGGGCTTCAGGGGCTCGGGATGTAGCTCAGTTGGTAGAGTGCTTGCCTAGCGTGCATGAAGTCCTGGGTTCCACCCCACACGAAGCATAAAACCAAGCATGCTGGTGCACGCCTGTCATCCCAGCACTCTGGAGGTAGAGACAGGAGGGCATAGTGAGTTTGAATCCAGCCTGGGGTACCGGAGACCCTGTCTCGGAAGTGAGAGAGAGACTGGGGATTCAGGTCAGAAGATAAAAAAGAACACAGACGGAAAGCCGAGGAGTTCTGTTTAGCGTGGGCTCAAACAGCGCAGTCATAGACATTGCAGGTCAAGGGCTACTGGGAGAGAGGTACTGACTGCTCTCTGCGTCATGGGTCAAAGAGTGACCCTTGAGCCAATAATAGCTCCTGGTCACACGTGTAGGACAGCATGCAGTTCACTTCGGAGCCTGCCCAAGGGAGGCCTTGCTGCCAGGCTCTGGTGGGTCAGGGTTGGTCATGGCTTTCAGAGCAGCAGTGGTAGGTTCCAGCGGAAGCCCTCAGCCTGGAGCCTGCCGGGGAAGCAGTGGTCCCCTCTAGCCCTCTTCTGTGGCACCCAGCCCTCCCCCGCTGGGGCCCTCAGGGATCTCGAAGTCTTCCTTGGCCCAATAGGGCAGATGCCCTGGGCTCTGGTGGGGGGGGAGGAGTCTGGGGTCTGATCCGGGTTCCCACCCTATCTCAGTTTCCCCTTCCCTCTTTCTCCGCAGTGCGGGAAAAAAAATTGGACTGTAATAAATACACTAGGTGCCCGGATGACAGGCTGAGTGAGACTCGGTTTCTATGACTGCGACCATCAGGGGAAGATTAGGCAGGAGGGAAAAGAGGATGGGGTCCTTCCTGGGAGGACCCAGTGGGAAGAATGGCATCAAGGAGCCCTGTCCCGTCATCATGTCCAGCCCCCTGCCTCTGAGCGAGAGATTACATAGCCTCCTGTAGGTCAAGTTGGGGGGGGGGAGATGGACTTCCTTCCTGCCTGGGGGCCTTGTTAAAATTGTGTGTGCGAGTGTGTGTGTGTGTGAGACTGTGGGTACATATGTCACCGCATGTGTGTAGAGGGCAGAGGGCAATCCTTCCACCTTCACATAAAGCTCCAGCTCCACGGCCAGACACGTAAGACAGTCATCTTCCCCTGCGGAGCCAGGCTGACAGCCCGTGTTTGTTTGTGTGTTTTGTTTATTTGAGACGGGGTCTTACCATGTAACTCTGACTAGCCTAGTGGACCAGGCTCGCCTTGAACTCTGTAATCCTCCTGCCTCAACCTCCTAGTTACTGGAATTTCCGTCATGGGCCCTCATGCCCTAGCTGGACTTTTTCCTCCTGTTTCTTTCATCCTTCTGCCTCAGAGCAGTGGATTTTAACCTCTGCATCCGTGTGCATGTGTGTGGCGTGCTTAATGTGAGTGTGGTGTGTAGAGTGTACAAGTGTGGTTGTGTAATGTATGAGTGTGTGGTGTAGTGTGTGTGTAAGACAAAGGCCAACATGAAGCGTCATTCCTCTGTTTAAGGTCCCCCCCCATCAGAGTCTCTCACGACATTGGAGCTCACTAACTGACCGTCAAGCGCCTAGGATCCCTTGTCTCTGCTTCACCACCCAGCACTAGGGCTAAAGTTCCCCACAACCCTCCCAACACTGGGTTACAGATGTTTGCCACCACTCCTGGTTTTTACCTGGGTGTGACAGAAGCAAACTCAGGTCCTCGTGCTCGCTCAGCCGGTAGTTTACCAACAGAGCCAGCTCCCAAGCCCGTAACCTGGTGCGGAGGCATGCGTTTCCTGGGGATGTGGCAGAGGTGTAGAGGGCCCCTTGCAGCTCCTGCCCACACTGGGTCTCACAGACAGACACTCTGAGGTGTTTCTAAGCCCCTAGCAAGAACATGAGTCCAGACAGGTGTGATGGTGCAGGACTATAAGCCCAACGCTCAGAAGACAGAGACAGGAGGGATGAGAATTGGTGGCCAATTTGCGGTTTACATAGCAAAACTATCTTTTAAAAAGAATTACACACATTGCCAGGTGGTGGTGGCTCGGGCCTTTAATCCCAGCACTTGGGAGGCAGAGGCAGGTGGATCTTCATGAGTTTGAGGCCAGACTAGTTTATGTACTGAATTCCAGAACAGCCAGGGCTACACAGATAGATTCTGTATCACAAAACAACACACACACACAAACACAAACACACACACACACACTCCATCTTGGCTGAAGGTGTAACGTATATGGCCCTGTTGGCTCCTTGTCTCTGGTTTAGCTACATGATAGGCAATGTCCTTTGTATCCAGTCCCTAGCGTCTGTCAGCACATAAACGTTTATCTACTTTCTTATCCTCAAAACTGGAAGGATTACCTACTTTAGCTGGAAGCTCTGCTCCTGATCCAAGTTATCCAAAGAAGCCCTGGTGATACCATTTTAGTCCTTTAGATAAATTAAAAAACAAATGAGCTAAGCATGTAGCTCAGTGGTAGGGCCCCTGCCTAGAATTCCCCAGTGAGGGGCTGGGGGTGTGGCTCAGTGGTAGAGCTCCTGCCTAGAATTCCCCAGTGAGGGGCTGGGGTGTGGCTCAGTGGTAGAGCATCTGCCTAGAATTCCCCAGGGAGGGGCTGGGGTGTGGTTCAGTGGTGGAGCTCTTAAAGAGCCTAACATTTAGGAGTCTCTGGACTGTATCCCCAGCAACACACACGCACGGCTTCTCTCCTATTTCTTTTCTCTTTTGTTTTTTAATTTATTTATTGCATTCCCTGTGTGAGTGTCTGGGCTGAATATATGTATATATGCCTTGTGAGCTCCAAGGTCAGATCACTGGAACTGGAGTTATGGGCGGTTGTGAGCCACCATGTGGATGCTGGGAATCAAACCCCAGTCCTATGCAAAAAGCAACAAGTGCTCTTAAACACTGAGCCATCTCTCCAGTCCCTATTTTCTATTTTTAAATTTTACTTGTATATGTATGATGGGGCACATGCCACAATGCACATGTGGACACCACTTTTGGAGAGTGCCTTTCCCTGCTGAGTCAGCTCAATGGGACCCCACCACTATTTCTTTGAAAGCTCAGAGACCTCCATCCTGCCAGATTCCCAGACCAAACAACCAAAGGAAACAGGAAATGTCCCCCACCATTGTTACAGTGTTATTTCCCCCAGCTATTCATTTAATTACTGATCCCCTAAGCACTTCTTTAAAATAAAATAGGACTTTTAAAAGTGTGTGCATGGGCCGGGCGTTGGTGGTGCACGCCTTTAATCCCAGCACTTGGGAGGCAGAGGCAGGCGGATCTCTGTGAGTTCGAGGCCAGCCTGGTCTACAAGAGCTAGTTCCAGGACAGCCTCCAAAGCCACAGAGAAACCCTGTCTCCAAAAACCAAAAAAAAAAAAAAAAAAAAAAAAAAAAGTGTGTGCATGTGTGTGTGTGTGTGTGTGTACACGCACGCAGTGCCCACGGAGGCCAGAAAAGGCGTTGGCTCTCCTGGAGGTGGAATTACAAGGAACTGTGAGCTCCTGACACGTGTCCTGAGAACAGAACTCAAGTCCTCTGCAAGAGCGGTGCACCGTCTTCACAGAAGAGCCCCCTCTCTGCAAGAGCCGTGCACCGTCTTCACAGAAGAGCCACCTCTCCAGCCCTCGCCCTCCAACAGTTCTTGGGTCCTCCTTGCGTGCTCAGCTCAGCCCCTGCCTCTGAGCATGGCAGTCTGAGTGAATGACACTGATTTTCCTGCTGCTCTATGACCAAGAAGCTCATAGGCCTTGCGATAACTCCTCTGTCCATCGCAGTCAAAGACGCCTCCTGGGACTCTCCGCCTTCACAGCTCCGAGTGACCTCATTGCACAATCTCTTCCCCCAACCGCTTAGCCACCTACGCCATGGAGCTGCCCAGATGCCCGGATGTAGCTGCTTCTTCTACGTCCTCCTCTGCATTCCTCTGAGCACCTGCTTGGGACTCCAGACTCTTGTCCCAAATGTTCGTGGGCATATCTATCCCTCCCCAAAGCCCTAAGAGTCTGAGGGAGACTCAATGTCCTCTCTGCATCCCAACCCCCACATCGGGATAGGCACCTTTGAAGTGTTTGTTGAATGACAGCCAAAGGAACAAGTCCAGAGACCAAAGGATAAGGGTGTTGGCAGCGTGGGAGCACTAGAGGGCGACAGAGAGTAGGGGAAAGGTGATTTAGGGGACACCTCCCTACCGGAGGCTCCCAGCCAGCCCAGTCCGGGAGACCGGACTGGGGCTCAGCTTCTCCTCTTCTCTGTTCCCCGTGGTACCGAGAGAGAGAAAATACGACAGGACCGGGGCACAAAAACAGGAAGCATCGATCCCGCCTCCGTTGCCAGGAGACTGGGAGGGACTAACCTTCCCTAGGATGGGCGTTGGGCACCGCAAGCTCTGGAACTAGCTAGCTCTTAGGGTTGGGGGTGTAGCTACTCGCTCTTGTCTTGGTCACTATCTAATGGGGCTCATATGAAGCTCACCAACGTTTCTATTCCAACACACAACATCAGGAGGCCACAAACGTGTGTGTGTGTGTGTGTGTGTGTGTGTGTGTGTGCGTGCGCTCGCTCTCATTGGCTCGTTGGGGGAGGGGTTGTAAATGTATACCTGTGTGGAAAAGCACGTATGTGTGCCTGTGGAGAGCAGAGGACAGCCTTGGGTGTGTTCCTCGGGTGCCATCCTCTTGGCTTTTTCGTTTTTGGTTTTGTTGTTGAGACATGGTCTTTCACTGACCCAGAGCTCAGCCTGGCTGACCTACATGGCCCAGGAATCCTTCTGTTTCCACCTCCCTGCTACCAGAACTACAAGCTTACAACATCATATCTGGCTTCTTTTCACATGAGTGCTAGGAATCGAACTCAGGTCTTCCTATTTGCAAAACTAGCACCTTACCAATGAAACTATCTCCCTGGGTCCCCAGGGTTCCTGTGTCCTTAATCAGTTCAATCAGTTTCCTGCAATCAAAGCCTCCATGGTAACTCAGTGCATAAATCAGGTTGAGTCTACTGCTATTCCTAATCCTTGCCTCCCTGAAATATTCCAGAAACAGACCCCCTCTCAAGCCTGCTTCTGTCATCAAAAAGTACTCATTCAATAAACTCGGCTCCTACTCACCATCTACCCAGCAAGTCACAAGATAGGAGGGGCCCCGATCAGGGCCCCTGCATCCATCCGACTGCTTCTTAAGACTGCCTGGGGGGACACCCAAACCACCCTAAGACTGGACTGCTTATCTCATGGGCTTGGGGAGCTCCCATCGCACCCTTTTCTCTTGACTTTGCACTCATTTCTGTTGATTGCTTATTTTGTTCTGTTGGTTTTTCGGGACAGGGTTTCTCCATGTGTAGCCCAGACTGTCCTGGAACTCGATCTTTAGACCAGTCTGGCCTTGAACTCACAGACATCTGCCTGCCTCTGCCTTCTGAGGGCCAGGATTAAAGGTGTACACCACCACTGCCATGACCAATTTGTTTAATTTTATTTTCTGTACATTGGCAGGAGGATCTCAGATCCCCTGGAACTGGAGTCACAATGGGAGCTGCCATGTGGGTGCTGGGAATTGAACCAGGGTCCTCTGTAAGAGCAGCCAGTGTTCATAACTCCTCAGCCATCTCTGCAGCTCAGTTTTTGTTTTGTTTTGTTTTGTTTTTTAATTGGGGTCTCACTATGTAGCACTGGTTGACACTGAACTCGCTATGTAGACCAGGCTGGTCTAAAACTCAGAGATCTGCCTGCCTCAGCCTCCTAAGTGCTGGGATTAAAGTCTTGAGCT